GTAATGGGATGAGACAAAGCGCAGGTAGACAGCTTGCCGTAGGTGTTAGTTCCAATTAGTACGTGGCACACCCACACACACACACACACACATATATATATATATATATATTTCTATATGACTGTTACGTAAGCCAGGTCACAGCTGCGCAGCTTTTGTCATCTCCGTCAGTATTTGCAACCACTTAAAGGTGACTTTAATATTGCAAAGCTCCTCAAAGGTGTAATTAAGGGCACGCACGCATAGACACGGAACAACTCCACCGGCGCGAGCATCCAGCAACACGTTAAGAACACATATGCATGCACCCACACATGTCACGTCTGACAGTCTTTGATGTTGTCAGAGTGTTTTCTCTCCGTCTTTCATGTTGTTTTATCTTTTTGTCTCCCCCTTCATCTGTGACACACTTGTATCTGTCAGTCAACCCGGCAACAATGACGCATTGTTACTGCAACTCATTTAAAGGCATGTTGTCTGCTCAGATGGGTTCTCTTTCAGAAAGTCAGAGAAAAACACATTGATCCATGAATAATAAGATGTAAGTGGGACTTTCTGTGGAAAAATGCCACATTATTTCTCGGTGCAGACAGAACTGAAACCTGCATGGGAGAAATCTGAAATCATGTGCAAATCAAGCTCACAAGATTGAATAGTGGCCGGACTTTTTATGCACTTTGAAGGTCAGCTATATCTTCGGTATGCATTTGAATGCTTTTAAAGGGTTTGTTTTGGTTTGGAACCACTTGAATGCCCTTAAACTATGAAGAAGCTGTTGCAGTTTATCTCAAAGGGTACATGTAGATATGCTCTATATTTATACATATTACAAATGGCATAATATTTCTGTGTACTATATACTCTATTTTATTGTTTATCCAAGATCCGTTTGACCTTTATTGCTGCTATTGTCTATATAATTACATTTTTTTCAGACATACACCCACATTTATTTGAGGCTACAGACTGCACATATAAATGAGATGAATATTAGAATATATAAACTTTGCTAATCTGTGCAATAATAAAGAAAATAAACCAACCAACCAACAAATAAATAAATAACATAAAATAAAGCAAAGCACCTCAAAGCACCAACAGATCTAAGTTTTTCTTGATGTCTAAGAAAAAAGCCACAGCCCCTGGTGCTGTCATTTTTTATTTTTTATTTTTTACATATTTTTGACAGAAAAAGAAACATGTAAAACACTTACACCAACAAATTCAAATGATGGTAATGTCAGGGGCCATTCATTATAAAGTTTCTTTCTTTTGCAAGATTAGAGATGAAATATTATTTTTGTAACAACTGATTAAACCAGAAAACCACCAGGAATGTAGAAGAAAAGAAAAAAAAAAAAAAAAAAAAAGATTAAACACCCTGGTTGTTTCAGAGACGTCGCTCTTCAGTTTCCTCCAGCTTTATGACTGAAGTATGAATCCAGGAGGAATGACTTGTCACATCACCAGCTCAATTAGTCAAGGAACCTTCTCTTCAAAACCACGTTTGACCAGAAGACAGGGACTGGAATTAATCAGCATCGATCGAAACTTTTTGGACACAAGCCGGTAAAAAACATAGATGCAGATCCGCCATTCTGCAGAAACCCCCCTCTATACATTTCTTTCTGGAGATTAGAGTGGAAATCAATTTAAGGTGCCCATGGCTAAATTGATATCATTACATTTACTGCAGGCTGAATAATGGATGACTGTATCATTATGGGGAAGTAATGGGATGAGACAAAGCGCAGGTAGACAGCTTGCCGTAGGTGTTAGTTCCAATTAGTACGTGGCACACCCACACACACACACACACACATATCCATACATGTACACATGCACTGTGGAAGTGTGCGCATGCCAAAACATGCTACTAAATGGCACAAGATGCATCAAAAAGCGTAAAGTTAATAACACACTTTATTGTTTCTCTGTAAGCACACATCTCGTGAATCAAAGCATTTCCACTTATTCAAAGCAGACTTCTTAATTTTGCACCTTTCCTTCCTCTGCTCATTAGTGTTATTTTATTATAAACACCTGTTCACTCATTTTGCACAGCTGCTGGTTGCCTACTGATGCTTCTGTGATGTGAAATAAGGGCCAGGACCATTTCATAAAATTATTCACTCTGCATGTGTCGTGGACTCGAGCTAGTTTGACATTTTTTTCCCTCATTATTGAATGATTCACATGGCAATAACTCAATTTGGAAACGATATATATATATATATATATATATATGTTTTTTTTTTAAACCGAAAGTTAGATTTGTGCACATAAATAGTTTTAAAAAGTAGTGTGCAGATTAAGTGACTCAATCAATTTACACTTATATCTAGAGAAGAACTCTTTTGTGTGTGTGTGTGTGCATATTTTATATTTATATGAAGACGTAAATGCATATGTTCAGGATTACTCCACTTAAAAAAACAGTACTTTGAGCCTTTTACCCCAAAAGCAGTGGAGTCCAAACGGCAATTCGTAACTTCAGTGTTAATTTCAGTTACAGCTACTAAAACTAACATGGTTATTTATTATTTATAGTCATATCCAAAAAGTAACCAGCGTGTCTATATGGGTGCAAGAAACCTGAAGCTTGATCTATAGCAGTGGTGCTATTTTTACCCTCATCTTTTGAAGGCAAATTTAATGTCATGTGGAACACATCAAAGCGAGCGTCATTGTTTTTGCAGCAAAACACTTTTTATTTTGTGATTGTTCTGGAGCGAGGAGATCGAAAGACAAAACCAAAGTTATTATATGCACAAGTTCAAAACATGTTGTTTCTTTACATTTAATTTAAAGGCACAGCAATATATACCCCCCCTCCCAAAAAAAACAAACAAACAAACAAAACAAAAAACAAAACAGAAAAACAATACAATAAACAGTTCGGATTAGATAGGTGAGCTGATCACATTAAAGTTTCTGGCTTTACATTCAAATACATTTCATTTTCTTCATTAATGCACTATTATTTACAGATTCATTAACTTATTAGTAAAAGCACAGCATTGCATTCAGGCACTGGTCGTCCATGTGATGGTAAAAGGCTGATTTACTTTAAAAGCCGTTGAAGTAGCATCCATAATCAGCTCCTACAGAGAGAGAGAGAGAGAGAGAGAGAAGGGACAACTTAATACTTGTGTTTATTGAACATTGCCTTTGCATCTTCATTTGTTAGGAGTTTCGCAGACCACAGTGCTGTATGTATATAAATAATAATAGGTGCAAAATCAACTTTTTTTTTTGTTTGTTTTTTGCATAGGCTTTAGCTCTCCATGATCGTGCACAACATCAACAAGTTTACTGTAGACGATAAATTGCTTCAAGTTTTGCTAGAGTAACTCCCTGCAGAAGTTGAGTCCACTTAAAGTGACAAATGTACAGCACATTCCTCCTGTTCTTTTCCATCGAACCTGATTTAAAGGATGATAATCCAAATGTGCACATGTAATCCAGACACTGTGAGTTCTGGGTAAAGTTCCACACACCAACTCGTACACATGTGAGGTGATATATTACAAAGGACAGTAAGAACAGGCCGATATGTCTTCAGGATAAAACATCCTGTCCTGCACCAGACAGAAATAACTCTCCCACCTCACTGTATTTAAATGACACAGCACCAGCTGCTTACTGATTCTTTCAAGTTGTTACCCTATCAGACAATACTTAAGAAGATGAATGGATTGTCTCGCACTGAAACACCACTTATTACCATGCACATACTGTGTCACCCTCTTTCCCTTTCTCTCGTTCCTTCCTGCCCTTTTTCCTCCCCTCTGCCCATCTTTCATCCTTCCTGTTTATCTCTTTTACCCCTCTTTTCCTTCTCTCAGTCTGTTCTCCGTGATGCATTCTGCCTCTCCACTGCACTCTGTCCATCCTTCTCTCTTTCCTCAAGATGGACTGTCTTTCTGTCTTTTCATTATTCTCGAGCCATCCTTGCATCCCCAAACGCACACACAAAATCCCTCTGTCATTCTGACTTTCTTCATCTGCAATTCTTGCCCGCTCGTCTTGCTTCTCCCTGTCCGTCTTCTCCAAGAACAGTATAAATCTAACGCTTCTGGGCTGTTTCACCTACGATTATTTATGGAGCTGCTGCTGCTATCATTTTCATGCTCCTGATAAGTGCACTGAGTACAGTACACAACCTTGACAGGAATATTTTATCACAGGCCAAATGAGGAAAAGTAACACACACTATCCGCGCAAACTTGGCTTCTTCAATCCTTTTTCTTCAGCCATCCTCCACTTCGATCCTATATGACCTCATCTCTTCTTTCATACTCCCATTTGTGTATTTGCCTTTTGGCAAACTTATTTCTTCCGTGTCGTCAAGCTTTCGAAGAGCTTTCCTTCAGCTCAAGTCATGTTTTACTAAACATCCCACAACTGAAGCCTTGTAAAAACGCTGAATCCCTTCTAGCTCCGGCTGAACCTTGGTGGCCGTGACCCTCTGGCCTCAATCCAGAGAACTACAGAGGAGGTTCATGAACAACCACTGTGGGATATTCCTTTGATGTAAAGAACAGAGAATATACAAGTGTTCCATTTTCACCGTGGCCACTATAAATGAGAGCGACTGTGGCACTGCAAGGCACATTGGACACATGCAGAGGACTCTGCTTTGCATAGACAAGTTGTCATGATTCTCCATCAGGTTTCTGTCTGCTCAGCCACTGGAGCAGATGATGGAGAGAGCAATACGAAATGACAGTCATTTCACATGAGCAGCTTTAAAATCACTGTCCTGAGTCAAGTCTTCAGCTCTGTGTTCATTACAAAACAACAGTGTCAGGGGGAATGCAGAGTTGATTACAGCTATTAGCGACAAAGTGCGGCACAGCAGGGGATGGGCTGTGAACCTGAGGTTTTTTAGTTTTAGTGACAGTTTCTGACTGGCAGGGAAATGCTCAATCAACTCAAAAGCCAGGGTGTGTTTATGGAATGTGTGCAAGTAATGATAAAAAAAACAAAAAAAGCTCACTGTGCTATGATATAAACACACAAAAGAACTATTCATTGACTGAAAAGATTGTTTGTATGTCAGACAGTCAACATGTTTATTTCAAAGTTATTCGAGAAGGAATTTAGCTTAGTTTATATGTGAAGTGCAATGGAATATGTTTTCTTGTGTACATATAGTTAGAATTGTTCCATTACTGTTAAAGTTTCTCATTTTTGCCAGCAGACAAGGTTGTTATTTGTGTTCCAAAGATCAGTCAATAAGGCTTTGGGGGGAAAAAAAAGGAGGAACCAAAAAAAAAAACAGAAAGAAAACAGCTGTTATTGAATTGTGTCTACATTGAATTTTCCAGTGGTACTGTGAGGGCAATGTGCTGTGAATTGGAAAAAGTAAAGTTTTCCTACATTTTTGTTCTGTTTTGTTTTATTTTGTGGCTTTAAAGCTGCAGTTGGTGCAGTTTTCCTAACAATACATTTAATAGAACACATAAATTAATAAAATAGGCTATACTAACCATTATTGGTATGTTTCTGTGTGCACAAAAATAACCACCATGTGCCCGAAACTTGCAACTTATCTATGCTGAGAGCTTTTTTCATTGACTGTTTTCTTTACTTGACAGTGTCAGTCCGCTGTAATTTGCGGTTATCATGTAAAGCTTGTGCACAGTTGTCAAAAGCATGAAGAACATGTGTAAATTAGAAACCTTTGAAGGACTTTCTTCTAGTATTGACTTGTATTGTATTACCTGTAGCTGTACCTTTATTTAATTCTGATGCATTGAGTACTAAGACAACTACATTAATTATATGATGACTAAATTACTGCAGAAGATGAATGAGCATTCCAGAACTATTCTCACCTGACTCTCAACGTTGTGTTGCGGGGTCAGTGTGTGAGTCGTTCCTTTCGAGTCTCGTAGGGTCGCTCCTTTGATGAGAACAGTGCCTGCGCCCCAAACCTTCACCACACCGAGGTTTAGCTCATCAGCAGCAGCCAGGCCGTTGTGGACAATGTCACAGCTCAAGGTATTCTGGAAGAAAAAGTTTCATTAGAAATAGAATAAACACAACACATGAGATGATGTACCTGATTTGTGTGAATGAATATTTACTAAAATATGACTTGTCCCATTTATTTATTTTGCTGTAGCATCTGTGCGACAGGCAGGACATTAATCTTGAACTTTGTGTCGTAATTTTGTCGTTTGTGTTGTAATTAACTGAGCCAAAGGATTTCAACCCCCCCATTTTATCGTCTTTAATTCTGTGCTTCATCACTTCACTGAGTGAGACGTAACATTTAGGTATCTTTCTTCATATGAGTAGTTTTGTATCTCCCATGTTCTAATTTTTGACTTTATGTCCTAATATTCTGCATTGGGATTCTGATTGTCAGAATAGTTTCACCTCCATGCTTGTATCAGACTCCCCTTCTGTGAAAAACATGTGCCTGGGTGCACACATATGTTGAAGGCCCCTCATTTTCCATTAAACGATGTACTGAGGAGGATGAAAACGTTCTCGCTTTGTAAAAATGGCCTCGCTCTCAACGTCCAAAATGCGTATGGAGCTGAAGGAACACACATAAACACACACACGCGCACACATCTATGCTCAGATAGCCATCCAAAATGGCATACGATCTGCTAATCTGCCAGGCAGCACTGGCCTCATTGCCCAACTTATCCTCATCTTCCCACATCTGCCTGTTCACACATACACCCACAAGTGCACACGCACACAAGCACACACACACACTTACACTCTCTTCCTCTCTCTCTCTCTCTCTCTCTCTCTCCCTCTTTGGCTGTCAGACACTGTGCCTGTTTTATCACTGTGTGAAATTGCTTTGGATTGAGCCTGATGGTAGGCAGAGGACAGCCACAGATGTTTGGCTATGGTCGCTGTATGTGTATAGTGTAGACGTGTGCATATATGAATGTTTATGTGTGTATGTTTGCGATTTAATTTGTGTTTATTAATGTGTGACTGTGAGCTTTTGCCTGGCAAAAAGAAAAATGGAGCTGGGTTAGTCCCATTAGTCCCAGCGATTAGGGAGTTTCTGACATGTGTGTCTCAAACTGTGATCAAACTGTGGGCTGGTAAACACTTGGTTCTTCCTGGATTTAGCCATAAGTGTTGTGAACGTACAACATGGACTCGAAGGGCTCTATTTTTGTGCGTGCGCAATGTCAGCAGAGGTGTAAACACGGCTACAACTTAATGTGTTGTTCTATGTTTCTTTTGGAGTAACTGAAAAAGCCCAAAAAACACATGTTCCAATGTCTGTGGAGAGATCAGGCTGATGTTGTATTGATCATTTAATTTGGCATCTATTAACCCTCTGAACTCCAAAATCTGCCAGCAGGTTTAAAAGGTGTGTTTTCTTTTTAAAGATTTGCCAAAGTTACACAATTTTATTCTAGCAAGAACTTCCTGGCGGCCCATGGATGCATTATGTGTGATTTATCCTTCTGTACAAACAGCCCAAAATGAGCTCAAAATCATAATATTCAAACACAGTCACTTTATTACATGGATCTGGCTCAAAAAAATGACCAAACACAAAACTGGTTGCCACTAATCAGATACTGTAAAAGAAAACAAACAAACAAAATGTGCTCCAGGGCGCAACTGAGAAGCCATGAGTGACTTAGCAAAAACCAAGTGTCAAGAGACAAAAACTCTGCAACTCTTAAGCTGAATTGCAGGTTTTATTGACACAGATACGCAGATTAAACTAGAGATCGGAAAGAAAATTAGACACTAATCAAACAAATGTGTGCAGCATTGCTCAAGAATGGTATACGGAGGAGCAAGTTGCTGAAAAATACATTTAGCATGGTGAAATATCTTTCTAGTGCTGATGTGCAGAGTTGTGTATATAATGTCTATATACAGGCCTAATAAATAATCTGTCTATTGCATGCAGAGAACCACTATCAGTAACATGTGGGAAAAGATGTTTTACTATTGATATCAGTTGTTGTGTTTTTTACTTTTTGTAAAACAAACAAAGACATCCAACTTTTGTTTGTGTCTTTTTTATGGTTTCTGACATGGTAGCTGTGCCATAATGCCCAAATGACATTTTTGAGTTCTTTCTACTTCTAGTGCTTGTGCCGTTTCCATAGAGATGCAGCATTACTTGCCACATTTAACCAAAACTAAGAAGTGACAGAAGAAAGAACAATGCCTTAATGACTCAAGATCTTCTTTTGCTGAAATAGTTGTGTTGTGCTTGCCTTTGAACCAACACGTTCAAAATGAATGGGCGCTTCCATGGAAACAGAAACTGGTTAAAATGTCTTTTGTGACTAGTTGAAATAGCTGCTTTGGAAACATATATATTTTTTGCCATTAAATCAGCATTTTCAAGTTTACCCACCATAGCCTCTCTGATGCATGTGTACAGTGCATTATTGCGAATAATCAAGGACCGCACTGGGAGTTGTGTTCTCTTACACACCTAGATATGCACTAGGGGAATGAGGCAAGTTGATGTACCAGTGCAAAACTTTGAGGTACTTTAAATATTTCAACTTGCATCCATCTCTAGTACCATCAGGGAATTCCCTGATTGTTGCCAAATTCATTGTCCAAAATGACAGTGGCCGTAGCATACAGCCAGTCTATGAGTAGAGCAATCTTCAGTGACAAGAAGACAAAGGCAGTTCTGTAGCAGATGGTATGATCCCCACAGACCATACCATCTGTGATTTCAACATCATGGAGTCAGTCTGGGATTACATGAAAAGACGAAAGCAAATGAGACAGCCTAATTCCACAGAAGAACTCTGGTAATTCTCCAAGATGTTTGGAACAACCTACCTGCCAATTGTTTTAGTTTAGTTTCAAAGGCAAATATTGTTTACACCACATAATGCCTGTTGTTGTTTACTGCACTTTATATGACATTAATTGATAAATAAAAGCTTTTATTGCATTATTGTTGAAAGCTTCTTTGCTGTAGTGTACATGAAAAGGATTCTCTCTTTTTTTTCTTTTTTTTTTTGTAACGCTGAACTTGGTGTTTGTGCTTTTGCCAAGTAAAACCCCAAATTGCTCTTTGTGCTAGTGTTTGTGATAAAAGGTTGTCTGAGCAGGCACAAATGTAAGTGCAATTTTTGTGCTAAAACAACGACCAAAAAAATACTCTGTGATCTGCATAAAACAAGCACAGTTGTTCCACTCTTCCACTCCAGTCACCTCTGTGTGAGCATGTTCGGTTTCAGCCTCAAAAATAACAAACAGCTGCATACACAACAACAGGGTTACACCTGATCAAAATTACATTGTGGCTTCATTAGGGCTGCTGGCTTGGTGATGAAACTGAGACTCTTTAGACTCTACTTCGCCCATACGATCTTTCAACTTAACAAACAGACTCTGCATTGCCCTGCATTATCTATTTTCCTCTTGTTCCCTCCTAAAATTGTAAAATCGTTTTATATTGCCACCTGATATGCGCTACTAAATTGTACATCAAAAGCAACAAGGAGAGCAAGACAATAAAACAAGAGGACACCAATAAAAAGCTTTGCCATCTGTGTGTGTAAATCATCTATTTAGGTTGTATTAAAGAAGCAAATGGCTATTGTTTATGATATTGTAAATTCTGGTTAAAGTTTAGTAATAAATAATCATCTTTCAGGTGATTGTAATGGTGCTAATACTGAATGATTTAACACCTGACACACTTGTGTGTCATTATTTTGATGGAGGTGTCACAAGATTTTTTTTTTTTTAAGGTGAGAACTTTGTATGAGCCAAAGGTGTTAAAAGCTATATTCAAATCACCACCCCAGAATTTTAGATAGATCCTTTGCTAATGGTTTCCGACAGTTAGCCTTTGACTTCCGCCGACCACAGCCCCATTGAATGGTAAAGCATGGGCTTAGTTGTAAGTCTTGCTGTGTAATAACAATAATGATGATAAAGAAAGAAAAAAGAGAGAGACGTGACATGTAGTTGGCCCTTGAACTCACCGTTGCTGCGCTAAAGGTTGTCTGAAGATATTGGTTTTTCTGCACCGTATCTGAGGAGAGAAAATAGGAGTCAATTGCATACAGAGGAGAGACATGAAGAGGAAGAAAATAGTGTGTGAATGAATGACAGTTTCAGAGAGATAAGTGAGCAAGTGAATAAGTAGGTGAGCTGACCGAGAACTCGAGTAAATGTTCAAATGACTGACAAATAAATGATCATCTGGTGAAGTATGAGTAAGTAGCTGACTTATTATTAGACCCATTTACAAATTGTCTCATGGTTTGACTAAATGAACAAATGATTGAATAATGGAAGTAAAATGAGTTAACTAGTTAGCTCTGCTGCTTAACCGCATGAAAGGCTGAAAACAAATTGGCTGCCCTGATGAGAAAATATAGAACTGGTTGAATGAATAAGGCAATAACTGATGAATGAGTAGCACACGGATGAGTCAGCCTGACTGACAGCGGAGTGAATAGCGAACCCTCTGAAGTTCAACTGAAACAAGCAGAATTAAAAAAAATAAATAAAAATTCAGAAAAGCAGATAATACCAGTAAGCAGGTGCGATATTGAAGCAAACAAGAAAGACATAGGGCGGCTACAGTACATGGCAGACAGACAGGGAAGACGCAGAAGAGAGGGAGCGAGGGACCAGATAAAAGAGGAGTGATGGAGAGCATATCTCTAGGCAGCGACACGAGGAATTACTGTAATAGTTTCTGTCACTCCCCTTCTCTGCATTCCTCAATCTCTCTCTATCTCTCTCTCTTTCTCCTTTGTCCCAACACAAACATGCCTTTCACAGAGGAGTGCATCTCCTCACAGAGGCACTTCAGAGACCGACTCTGTTCATATGTGTGTGTGTGTGTGTGTGTGTGTGTGTGTGTGTGTGTGAATCTGAGAATGTGTGAGAAAGTGGTGGAGGACTGTGCTGCAGTCGGCTGTGTCTCCATAAAGAAATCCATATTCAGTGAAAATAATTGCATGTGCTTCCTCATACTGTATATGTGTACTGTACCGGGGTAGGAGGCAATGCAAATTCTGTCAGATGTCATTTATATACCGACCCTGCTGTTTTGACTTGTACATCACAAAATAAAATCAACCTACTTTTTTTTTTTTTGGTCGCTATTACCCATCGAAAGACATTTGTCTGTACACTTGTCCGTCCCTTTCTTGTGCATATGATATCTCAGTGAGACCTTGAGGGAATGTCTTCAAATTTGGCACAAACATTCACTGGACTCCAGGATAAACTGCGTCAAAGATTACTGTGACCTAACAAAAGACTTTTTTTGTCATAATTCAATAATCCATAAATTAGTTATACAAAATTTTAAACAAATGTCTTCTGCAATGAAATGAAGCGATGACATTTTATTTCCAAAAGGTTTTGGGTCACCTTCACTGTGACATAATACCATTGTACATACTGTACTGAATTGGTGACACTAATCTTGGATGTCCAGTTAAAACTGTGGTAATTTGATAGATCCTCTGTGCTACAAGTTCTGTGTGGCACATCCATGGTTTAGAATGTTTAACTTTTTAAAAGAAACGCCCATCTTACTTTATTTACTTTATTTCATTATCTGCTGTCGTGGCTACAACTTTGTCTTCTGTGAGAGTCTGATGTATTGGCCAGGAATTGAACATATACAAGGTATTTGCCGCTTGCTGTCGCAGTTTCTATAAACTTTCGATACTTTCATTTTTGGATAGGCTAGTTGGTTCTCCCGTACTTTAGTGTCGTTTTGGTTGTTATTTTTGGTAGAGCTCACTCTTATTTTAAGCTAATCATTCCCTTTGTTTTAACCCCAAATTTATTACAAATAAGTCATCATTTGTCCTGGTAAAACTGCTGTGGTGTGGCTGCTTGGGACCGGAGAGGGATGGCGCATTCGTGTTGTGTTCAGGTGCCCCTAGACTGGACGTAACACTATCGTAAACAGTCACTCCATGAATACATCAATAAAAGATGAAATGACATGCTCCTCTATGTGTCTATGTATAGGTATGTGTTGACGAGTGACCTTTTACTTACCTATACCATCTCCGTCATCCCAGAAGAACGATCCTTCAGCAGTTCCAGTGGGACTCAGGGCGACGATCAGTCCTAAAGGATTCTTCCGACTGAAACAAAAGGGACAGAGAGTCTTACAGCAGATTGCTGAAGGGCAGTGTCTATTTATACCTGCTGCTGAGAACAAATACATTAACATTCCTGCTGGGGGGATCCACCTGATCTAACTGTGGCTTGAACACGCATTACCACCTGATCGTCTACCTCTCTCATTCTCACAGCCAACTTCCTGAACACACACTGATACTCGTATAAGATGGCCTTCATTTTGATTATTGTGTATGTAATAAATGGCGACGTACCTGCCACGATGGTCATATCTGTTTGACTTTGTCAAATTAAAAAAATCTGAAACATTCAAATACTGCAGTGATACCCTCCACCACCCTATCTTACTGCACTGGCATTGAGGCACAGACAGACAACAAACATGCACACGCACACACACATACAAAGGCATCACCAAGAGGGGTCCGGAAAAATGTCCACTGTTGGTAATGAGGGCCACTCTTGGGTAGAAACGCAAGTGCATGCACACACACACAACACACACACACACACACACACACACACACATACTTTTCACACTACACACAGGACCAATAGCTGTGTGCTGCCATGATGTGTCAGACAAGGTGTGTGTGTACGTACCTGTAATGTGTAGTGTTCTCTGGTTTCTGCCAGGGTAAGATGTATCCTCCTCTGATATGGAGGTTAATATGGTCAAGGGGTGTTGGCATTGAGATATAGCGCTTGGAAGACGGCACTTCTTTAGCCTGATGCAAGAAATAATAACAATCAGCTGTTAAAGTCCTAGAAATACGAGATTAATTAACATTGATTCATTTTGTTTAACAAGTCCTTTGCAGGAATATTGTTGACATAGTAAAATATGTACATGCTGCATCTGAAAGATTTCAGAAATGTATTACACACCAAAGGAATCATTTACAAATATCGTTCTTCCATGACTTTCCACTTTGCCCTTGATCTTTCTCTTATAGCTTGTAACTCGCTGAATGCTCCCTTGTGTTAAAGGGGGGTAACCACCCCTCTCTACCATCTTATGCCCCCATTTAAACTGCTGTTTCATGTTTTTTGTTTGGGTTTATGATGCTGTTTAACAGATGGGGACTCCCCCAGCTAGAAAGAGACAGAGCAACTTTGTTTCTGTCATTGAGGTACCTTCTGCATTTGTTGGGCTGCAACTTCCTAACGATGAAGCCAAACACTTCATTCAATATTAATATTTGTTACTTATTTGTGTTGATGAAATGTGTTTTCAGACACAACACATGTTTTCCATGTAGTGCCTTGTTTCTTCAACACATTATGTTATGTTCAAGGTTATTTTCTTCTTAGAAAAGATAGGGGAGGCTTTGGGTTCACTTTTGTCTTTCTAATTGTTTCCTTGTTAGTACAGACTCACCGTGTAGTAGTCATACCAGCGTCCTTCAGGTATATAGCCAGACACAGTTCGCTGTCCCTGTCAGTAAAAAAACAAACAAAAAAAAAATATGAAAAAGAATGAGTCCAACTAAAAGGAAGACAAATACAGACAGAGCAGCTACTCTTCTTAAAATGGTCAAAAAGTTACAAATTTGATCCTTATTACTAAAAAATAATTAATAAAACAAAACAGTGTGTGTATATGTGTGCACATACCTTATTTAGTGCAGGGCTGATAAGTAGAGCGGGTCCCCAGAGGAACTGATCATGTATCGCCCATGTCTCTTTGTCGTGCACAAACCTGTGACACACCGGCATGGAAGCTATTAAGCCTGACTGAAAAAAGACATTACTAACACTCTCTCATGTGTCCTCAGCCCAGATGACTGTTCAAATACTCATTCAGAATTCAATGGCATGCAAGCCAAATAACCCTGCCAGACTCACCCTGCCAGCTCCTTTAATACCATCTGTGACTTTATAAGAGTCTCTTAAAATGAATAAATATGTCTTTTTTCCTTACAATTTCACACATTCACATCTGGGAGCTGCCAAGTGCAGCCACAGTCATCTTGTGGTTGGCATCTATACAGTCTCACTGGAATTGAAGTGCCTTGCTCAAGGGCTTTTTCATGGCAGCCGTTGTGGCAGGGCATACACTTCTAATTTTCATACCATATCAAGTTATTCTAATGAGAAAATTTGTCAAACTAGCCTATCTTACCTTGCTTCATAATAAGGTTGGTGTTGATATGATCTCACTAGTTGATAAATACATAGTTGGCCATCAAAACAGAGTGGTACTGAAAATGTTTTCAAGAACTCAATGGGAAGCTCCTTCTAAACGCATTTGCAGTCCAGTAACTACCACATGTGATACTCTGCACACTAATGAGAAGCAATGTGGTATAAAATCAGGTTATCTCACCAGTGATCAGGATAAAAGATCCATGTGGGTGGTCACTAAATTATGTGATTATGTGTCTTTATGAAACACTAGAACCATGATTTTAGCAGAAAGGATAAAAACCGTGTGTGTTGCGTGTCTGTGCTTACTCATGCAAGAGCGGTCTGACCACAGTGCTTCCTGTGGTATGTGCTTCATACATCAGGGTGTACAGGTAGGGCAGGAGGGTGTAGCGGACATTCAGGACGTCCCGGGATATCTCAGCAAAGGCGGAATCCCAAGCAACGGGATCTTGTCGCTAACACAGAAAGAATGAAAAAAAATACTAATTACAAACAGATGAAATTAAGTTGATACCAGTAATACTACTAGTAGTCTGTGTGTGCTTCAGTCTGACTTAAATCCCGTCAAGAACCTGTGGACTGTGATGAAGAAACAAGTATGAGTCAGAAAGTCAACAAATTTGGTTTTACTGTACGAAATCTGTCACAAGTAATGGTCAAAGATATAACCAGAAACTTGTGGACAGCTACCAAAATTTCCTAGTTGAGTTGAAAATGACCAAAAGACGCATTTCTGTACGCATAACTTTGACTGTCCAGATTTTGTCATATTTACTCCTCCTGGATAAAGCTGCATGTCTCTGGCCACCAGTGATCATCCATGCAGAAGACAGAACTAAAGAAACAGCAATGTTGTTGCAGTGTGGCGCAAAGCTAGTTAGTCCTTGTCATGAGTATGAATACACAAATTGTATCTATATTTTAGATTTACATTCAAATATGGATATTTTATATTTTGCTCTAACGCAACCTTGTGTGGCTGCTATTTTTAGATTTCATTTTAATGACATAAAAAGAGGACTTACAATGAGGACTATCTGATGTGTCCGACAAACACAGCATTATCTCGTGGAACAATGGGTGGGACTTTTACAGTGTAAGCATCCCCAAATCCAATAGAGACCATGACAGGGTTACGTACTCTCCAGGGACAGTGAAAAAATACTCAACTGTGGACACGTTAGTAATAGGCTTTTTAAAAACATGAACTACGACCCCAGTAGGTGATTTGAGGGGAAATGAGGGGTGATGTCATCCTTCTCAGTGTCAAAATGAACAAAATGCATCTTTCATTAACCTGCAGTCCCTCATGTTTTTGTGTATGTTGGTTTGTTGTTCACATGGATAAACCTCAAATCACCAAGTAATGTAGTAATGTAATATAGTTACAAAAAACTCAAATAATTGCATCTTAGGGAAGGGCAGATAAACACGCCGTTTATTCCATTCCTTTTACCTTCCTCTTGGGTTTTGGTTTTAATCAGACAAAAATGCTAACTCTTTAATTCTCACTGGAGCACCCTGCACAATGCTTCTGCATGCGAAGAAGTCTAAAGCTTCACCAACCTGCCAATTAGCAGTGCACACTTGGTGATGAAGACTGAATTTTTCAAAACCTTTTTTTTTAGTGGTATTCCCTGAATCATTCAGTTTATCTGTTTGACATCTAGGTGAACCACCTTTATGAAGGGATGCTAAATGCAAAAAGTCAACAAAACATCCGCTCACTGAAATTATTATGATTTTATGTGTGTCGAGAGACAAGCACTTGGTGTTGGAGTGAAAAAGATTTGCTCTTTCAGTGGATGCACATTTCAAAAGTGCTGGCTATTTCTCTCAGTTACAAATGCAGATACACAGAAGACATGCAGGGCTATGCAAGAAAACAAGCCATGTCATAGTTCATAATGTTGATTCTCTATTTGGATTTGACAATGTTGCGAGACATGAAGAGAGACAAGACAGTTTGTAATGCGCTAGAAATACAAGAATGACCTGTGGACTTATACTGATAAATGACTGTTCTGTCACACACTGTACTGACATTTACCTAATGTTAACTGGCAACAAGTGTAACACCTCCTTTAGAGACAAGGACAGAAAAAGAGGGCATGGTGTACTGTCATTTTTTTTTGTAAATGTGGGCCAATCTAAAAGTGTTAGCTCATTTTCAGGAACTGTAGTGAGGACAATAATCAGTCTAGGCAACACACACACACACACACACACACACACACACACACACACAGCATCATAGGGAGGAGCATATGGTGGTGACACGCTTCAGCTGATCCTCTGTGTGTGCGCGCATGTGTGTGTGTGTGTGTGTGCCTTGGTGTGCACTGCATTCTGCAAATGACTGTGTGTATATGCAGTAGCTCAGTGTGTTATGTAGTTAGGCATGAATCTGTATATATGAACCTTCTGTCTTTTCAGCTTAAGAGGCAAAAAAAAAAAAAAAAAAGTTGCACAATATAATGATCAAAATCATCACGCAGAGCAATAAAATGACAGACATTCACTTCCCAGCTGCAGTTTAGCTGGGTCATATTTGATAATAGTTATTAACTGTAGCACAGCGGTTACTAAGTACAGGCCTAACAGCACATGATTGAACACCGAACATTTCCATTATCTTATGACCCAAGGAGTTTACCAGATTATCATTTAATTTTCCAAGGAAATTTACAAGATTGTAATTATCTGGAAACCCAGGAGTTCTACCTGCCTCCCTTTTTCCAGTAACCTTCCTTTTGCCCCCGCATGCCATACAATCAGATGTGTTCACTGGGAAGCAATTATCATGCTAAGTTGTGTGAACGTGACAGACAGAGACTGAATAAATGATTCCGAACAGATGAATATGAGCTTGTCTTGCTTTAATGATTCGAAAGAGGATGTGCGGAGTTAATACTGTGCAGATATTAAGAGGTTTGACAACCCAATGTGAGGTCCAGACAAATCTTAGGGCCACATTTGGGCAGCTTTGTTGTGTAAAGCTTCAGTGTCAATTTGGGTTTGCTTGTGTTGTTGGTGTAAATTGGGAAGTGGGAGTTAGCCTTTTGACTTTGTAGTCATCTATGAATGAGAATGGACGGTATATTATGGAAACACTTTGATAAATCTTTCACTGTGACTACACACATATTATAGCGTCATATCATGGTTACGTTGTGTGGATTTTAGTTGTCTTGATGAACAGGTTTTGTGTATCTAGTACTGTAATTGTGGAGCACTCAATGGTTGTGTCTGACTCCTCCACCATTTTCAGAAAATGCCACAACCCCAAAGAGGCAAGAATTTTTTTGTGATTAAGTCTGATGTAAATATGGAAATATCCACTAATATGTGGACTGGTGATCCCTGTAAGATTACATGCATAGCTGTTTTTTCCCATTAGGTCACAGCAAACTAAAGATTTACCAAAATATGTGGAGTTGTATCAACAGCTTATGCCTTTGCTGGGATTTGATGTGACTATTCTGAACAATGCCGGACGGTAACTGATCCTGGATCAAATACTATTGCTGCTTTCACAGTTTTCATATAAAACTGGGCTCAGACATGCCTTAGAAACTATTGAACTCAAAATGATGATCCTCAAAGGTGAAGAAACTTTATTGGCTTCAAATGCACATGTGAAGCAAGCAGGTCTGGTTAGACAACTGACAAGACAGTCTCACCAATGGCAGACAATGGTTTAGCCATTTGATTTATTCAAGCGATACCACCTAGTTTTGTTAACAGCTGGATCATCATGGGAAGAGACGGAGAACTGATGATGCATTGAGTTTTATTTTAGATTTCCAGATGTCATTTCTTCATTCACTGACATACATCTCAGTGATCAATTTAGATATCAATATTCTGCTCTCATATGTATTTATTTTGTCATCTTAATCTGTTCTCTTAGCTTCCTAAAGCAAGGGAAACAACTTTGTTTTCTGCTTTTTAAATGACATTGTCTGCACTTTTTTTCTGTCCTATAATTTTTTAGAAAAATATCTTTATATCTTAAACTAATATTTGTACAAAATGGGCAATTTAAATGCACGATCTTAGACATTTTACACTGTTTCTGGTGTTGTGTGGACTAAATGATTTATCAGAAAGTCAGAAAAATAATTTGTAGATTAATTGATAATATTACTAACTACTAAATTCAGTTTCTTCAGTCTATGACACAGTATTCATGGGATATGACCACTGATAAATTTGGGGTTGGGTGTACAGACCAGATATAATGTGCTAGTTAATGCCTGTCCAGCATAAACACATGAGTGTTTCTGTTGCTGATACTGTTATTATCTAAGTGGTCGGATCGTAAAGGGGATCATTTTGAAAAACTTGTACTTTTTAACATTCAGTCACACAAATCTTGTCTGACTCAACAGTTACACCACCGTCTGTTGGGCCCTCAAGGTAGACTTTTCATCTGTGTAAAAACCAGATGAGGGATTGATGAAGAGATGCGAGAAGAGTGAGAGGGAGACAGAGAATCCATCTTATGAATTCACCTAATTTATGGCCACATTTATAGCAGCAAAAGGCCTTGTGATACACTCTGAATGTAGACAGATATGTATGTATGTGCGTACATACTTACGCTCGGCAGCTTCCAGGAGAAAAAAAAAAAAAAGAGGTTATCTGGCTGTGTCAGCCCTTCTCATTTTTTCTCTCCTCTACTTCTCTTCATTTATCTGTCTGGAATCTACTCCCTCACCCCATGTAATAAACCTTTGAGCTTCTGTTTTGCATTGCAGAGCTACAGTTTTGCTCGCATCGGTAAAAGAAAATATATTTAGATGAACAATAATATGTCCCTTTGGGTGAATAACAATATCCATGACTCCAATATGACTGCGCTGCTAAGAACAGGCTTGCTGTGGAATATATCTTGTTTAATTAATTTGTTCTGATATGACTGTGGACACTGCAGTATATTGCTGGTGCAGTGAAATTATCTCGAGGTCAACACTGAAAGTTGTCTGAGGGCAAAGAGACACTAGGCGTGACAGAGCTCTGGGAATGACTCTGCAAAAACTCTCCTCTCTTTTTTCTCTCTCCACTGTCTCTGACCTTGTGTACCCTCCAGTCTGGTTTGTGGTGTTAATATTTTGTTGTCAAATGCCTTGTTAAGCAGACTGGAGGTTACAGTCGCTAACTGTCGGATGATTAGGGATTTTATATGGCTGACTGGGAAAAAAATACAGTTTTTACAGTACAGACTACATAAATAGCTGACCTTGGTTTTCTTTGCTCTCGTCTCCCAGTGCTGGTTTGTGTATTTTGTTCTCCTCTCACCGAGCCCCGTCCCACCTCCCACACATTGCTTTTCTAACTTGATTGTTTCAAAATCGGTAAGTTGTTTATTCAGCCCCGTCCTGCCTCTCACATCCTTATTACTATCCTGCGTCGCCACTATTTAACATGCTAAATTGCCATCTTGTTTTATTTTCCACTAATTTTGTCCCTAATTTTTCTCCTTTTCTGTCTCATAGCCCATGAATTTGTCATCGTGTCCCGATTCCTCTATCTGTATTTGCTTGTCAGTATTTTTCTGCTCAGTTATACTCTTCTTTTTCTTATGTTTGGTATAATTACCTGTACTGTTCTCTTATCAATTCTCTCTCTATCCCTCTTACTCTTTGTCTTTACCTCTTCCTCTCAAATTGTCATTTTGTGCCGCTCTCTCCTGCCGTGCGTGTGTGTGTGTGTGTGTGTGTGTGTGTGCTCTTTTCTGTCAGTTTTACCCATGTTTAAACACCCATTTGCAAGCCATTATTAAATGATTGGAATCATGGGGCGTGTGTGTGTGTGGAGTGGAGGTTAGGTGGTGTGCAATGGTGCCCAGATCACCTTGAGAATTCAATTATATCCCCACTCCATGTCGTTAAAAAGCACAGGCACTGACACACGCACAAACACACACACAAGTGTGTCCTGTCTAGTATTGCAGACTCCAGTGCAGAGAAATTTCGCCTCGTGGGATCGATCTCCGGACGGGCGTTATTGGATTTCTCAGATGTGTTCCAACGCTCTTAAAGGTCACCACTAGAATGAATGCCACCGACACTACACCGCCAAACAGGTCTATCTTTTTGTGTGTTTGTGTGGGTGTGTATGTATGTCAGACACAGATTAAGAGAGAGGTAGCAAAGGAAACAGAAAGAAACTGATTTTGCATTTCTTTTTTTTTGTTTTTGTTGGCAAACAACAGAAGTTGGTAGACGTTGCTAAAATATAGTTTTATAACTTGACCCCATATTTTCTGAGCACAAGTGCATGCTTGCCAAAGTAAATTTGAGATGTAGTGAGCACCAGCACTTGGTGTCATTTCAGGCCATGGGACTCAACTCTCATACCTTTTGAAAGCAATAAGCTCCTTTTGCAGAGTTGTAGTCTAAGTAGTTGTCGTATAAATGAGCAAAACATGTTCACTGGATAAACTTGAGCTGAAGGAGAATAATTATTTCCTTGAAAAACGCTGTTACACAGTTTTCATTTTTCAGATGAACAGAAACAGATTTTCAACACAAAAATATTGTTAATAAAAATATGTTCATTTTTAACTTTCTTTTCATACTTTCAACACATTGATTTTGGAAGAATGATTGTTAAAAGTGGTGCATATTTGGAAAACCCCAATGTTTACCACATATGCAATCTTTGCGTATCGTTCCCAGATTTATTGAGTCAGAGTCACTTTAGTGGAGTATGGACTATCTTACTTGCGAGTAGTGTATCCGTTAGTTTAAGAAGCTAAAAGGTTTCATTGGTTTGAGTAATGTTATTTTATAAAACAGTCTCACACCAAAATGTGTAACAGCTATTGTATGTTGGTCCACAGCGCAAAACACATTTTCACAATAAAATTTGGAAAACTGTGAGATGGCAATGTTTTGGGGGGGTTTATGGCCGATTTTTTTGTATTGGCTTGCATTTGTGTCACGTGACTCGGAATTTTCGTTCCTTTGTACATAAAACAAGCAATAAAGGCTGAATTATGAAATCTCATAGGTGGTGGTGGCATTGACCACAGCACTTTTAACCTCGAGACCAAAGTGCAGTCTTGAACTATTCTTTGTATTGTCTTCATATGCTGTTGTTGCTGTTTTCTGTCATGTTCAGTTGCTATTTTTCTTTTGTCTTCACAACAGAATTACTTGGTTAATTTTCGACACCAAAATTACTTGGTTAGGGTTTGGAAAAGATCATGGTTACTCCCAGTACCGAGTTGTTTTCTAAGTTGCGAGGGTGATGGATCTCGCCACAAGAATAGCCCCTCAAAACAGAATCATCATACAGTTTTCATGTATATACAACAATATGTTTTACACTGAAGACCAATGTAGTTATTTCTCATTTAATGTGACACTGGGCTGTGTTTTGTACCACTGCTATTGCGATGACAACAGCAGAATGAAAAAAGTTTTTTTTTTTTTTTTGTACATAGACCAGCCATGTTAAAAAACACATGCAAGTAGAGTTATTTCTTCAACTTTGGTAAGAATTCCAGGAAATACAAATATTTTAGCGACCAGCTCTGACTTCCAGTTGTGACTGTCCCAGCCTATTGTGTCAAGGCATAGCCACCAACTTAAACTTGTGTGCGTGCAAAAATTTGCACATCCATTTCATAATGCCCTAAACTGAACCTCTATCTTTGGTTAATGTCTCCTCTCACCCACGAGGAAACATCTTGGATGAGAAGTTGCAGCTCTTAACACGAAACAAACAATCTCAAATGAAGTTGATTTAAGAATTCACATCTCTATGTGAGAGTTTTTTTTGTAATTCACTCACCGGGTTACCCTTGCCATTGTGGTTGCGTGAGTATGGATAGAAGGCACCCAACTGCATCCAGCGAAGACACATCTCATACTCAGTTGGATTGAAGAACCCGCAAATGTCTGCCCCAGTCTGAAAGACAACCATGGACAAAGAGCATGAGTGCATGTATGTGTGTGTAGAGACAGAGATTGACAAAAAGAGGAAACATGAGCATCAGGGAGCAAACATAGGAAATCAGGTCACGTTACTTTTACTGCAAGTATCATGTTACTGAGGTGTCCTTGTGCATTATGTATTTGACCCTGTGGCTGGATGAGGGACATGCAAATGACTCGCTATATAAGGATCAATAAGGTGTCAGATTGTAATCATTATTAAACCCACTGAGAAGATGAGAAATGACAGAAGGACGATATGTGCGGGAGAGTAAGAGACAGAAATAAATACAAAGACAAAGGGGCAAACAAGTAAAGACAGAGAAAGCCAGGAGAGCAATGTAAAAATGCAAGTTTCATTTAGGACTACACAATTAGTAACAAATTTTTATATGGCATGACGGACTAGCACGAGGCCTCTTGGTTGGGGTGAGCCTTGTAATGACAGGCTTCATATTGTATTTCTAGATGTCCTTTGATCAGAGGGTCAAGCAAACAAAATAACATCACTCAAGCCGATGTAATCTATTTAGAGAGGACAAGGTCACATCAATAAGATTATGTCTTGTCAAAACAAGGATGAGATGATGATACTTACGTAGGAGATGCCAAACAGACTGAACTCCATCATACCTGTAGCACAAAAAGAGAAATGGGAAGTCAAAGATTTATTAAATTTTTCTCTGTTGCACAGATTACAAGCATGTGGGATATTTAATCCTGAAAGAGTATAACCATGAGTCTATATGTACCAATAATGGATTTGTATAGCTGGTCCCAGCTGGCGTTGTTGTCTCCCAGCCAATGTCCAACCCATTTTCCACTGGAAGGGTAAGTGGACCTGGTCACCACTATGCCTCTTTTACCTGTAATCTCCAGCAGGGAACTGCACAAAGAAGAGAGACTCAGGGATTACACATAGCAGTAACGTACACATACATAACCCAGCAGCTAGCATATTGTGTCTTTGTTCTCTTCAACAGAGTTCATTCATTTTAGGAGTGATTTAGCCAATTAATTGTGACTGTTAAAATCCAATCACAAATAATCAGGAACAACAGTGACAAAATAAAACATTTCCTAAGCTTAAGCAACTGGGCTCAATGCCCAAGCATCCCCAGGCTTTTCTGTGGCTAACTCTGCAGTCTGGCCTTCCTGTGGCGACAAGCAAATTTTACCACAGGGATCAGTGTACTTACACTGGCAGCTATTATCATAAAGATTTGAAGAGAATATATTTCTGGCTGGTAGATATCAGTTCTGTATCTCCTGTGGCCAGATTTTAGTTCAAATACTTTTGCAATGATAGCTTTCGGTCCATTTTACTCTTTACCTATATGCCACTTGACTGTGTTCAGATTGTGCAGGGTTTAGATTATGGTAATTTGTCTACTTCCAAGTGTAGTGTAGTTTACTTCGCAATTTAAAAAAAATCTTAATTTACATCTCTCAGACGATGTGACCTAGTTGCTGCATTTAAAATATTACAATGATAAAGAGTACCTGCCCTAATTTCACCTTGTACCACCCAAAAAAATATAGAAACTGGCATTAAAGTGAGCATAACTGCACAAAAGCACACATAAAAACTAAAACAAACAAAACAAACAAAAACAAAAAACAGAAACAAACAGGCCCACAAATATCAAATAATATTCACTTACTCATATGTGGGCTTAGAGTGGGACCAGCCGTAGAGGTTGTGGACGTCGTAGTGTTTGACTCTCTTTCCATCACTGAGTATCTGCTCACTGTTCATGCACAGAGTCTTGTGGTTTAAGCCCATTTCTTTAGTATCCAGAGCTTCAGAGTGCACAAACACACACAATAAATACACAGTTAAATGCATACCAATATTGTAGATGACACAAGGAGAACGACAATTGTGTGCATGTCTTACGTGGCATATACGGTGGGTTCTCTAGAAGTGGATTACCAAGACACTTCCCTCCAACTGTGCCGTGGACAAAACTGGCAGGCTCATTCATGTCCTTCAGATAAAGACAGAGTGTAGGTGATGAAAGTGAAAAAAAAAAAAAATCCAGTAGATTGAGAGGGGAATGCAAATAATGTCAATATATTGGAATGTTCTCCTTCAGGGCACTCACAATCCAAATGCCATCAAACTTCATGGTTTTGTGATAGAAATCAACGAGTTCTTGATGCCACCATGCTGCCGTTTCATTGCGGAAGAAGTCTGGGAATGCAGTGTAAGCCCTGTAGAGCTGGAGATGAGACAGTCAAATGATCAGGAAATGAAATGCTAAAATCTGAGATATCTCAAACCCTGATTTATTTATATCGTAATTTGTAATTTTTAGACATAGTTTCCAATATGTTTGAAACTTGGAAGAGCTAAATGTTGGCAAGGTGAATAGAGAAATTATTGTACCTCTACTTGGGTATCCCAGTCCAGTGACTCATCCACTACAATATTGGGGTAATCAGGCCAGACCTGCAGAAATGGTTGCAAAATACATCATCACACCATGCAAAAGTCGTGATTGTGTTGGTTTCATTTTGTCTTGATTAAAGAGTTGTTTGACTTGGTTTGGCCATCCATTCCATACCTTGCCCCACACAATTTCATCACTGAGTTCTTTGGGCCATTTGATGAAAATATCCGCTGCTTGTCCTCTATCAAAGGCAGGGTAAGTTGTCTCATTGCCTGAGATGGCAGGATCCTGGAAATGAAATAGACACAAATCTTGCATGAACTGTAGCAAAGACTGGCTGGTGTTTCGATAACCTTACATATATATTTGCCAAATATATGCTTTAAACATCTTCAAAATAATATTCACAGCAGCTCTACATGCTTATGTGACTCTAATCAGTATTTTACAAAATAATGTCAATACCAGAATGAAGATGAATCTCATGCCTTCTCCTCTCAATCTGTCAACCAGAGCAGGCAGTCCCTTAAACTCCGAGTCCAGGACAAAGTCCAGCTGACGCTCCATGTAGTCGATATCTGCATATTGCACATCCTGTAGCAGATGCCATTTAAAACTCAGTTTAATAGGTGTTAAACATACGTTGAACAGTCTGCTTCATAGTCAGTTATAAAAGTTTGCAGTGGATATTATCAAAGTTTTTTTTAAGACTTTGTGCTGTTAGATGAATAAATGGATGACAACTGCTTCTATGTCTTATTCATTACAATGACAACAACGCTCAACCTGTTTTTGGTTGTCTAGTGTGTCGGTAGAAGTATGATGTTAAGTTAACGAGTCTGCACAGCTAGCTGATGTGTAGTCTTTTTAAATAGCTGTATTTTCTGCTATCTTTCATTCGAGTTAATGATGCATGATTCTTTTTTGGCTGGCGTCAGCTCCTTGCAGGTTAGGACTTTGTGAAAGCATATTCGGGGGATCACTTGATTATCGATGGAAATTCCTGTGCTCTGTTCTGCATGATGAAAAGGGTGGGATTCAGGTCATGTCCTCATGGGGCATCTTGCTGAGGTTAGACACAAATGTTCTTACATATGAGCATTACTTTCTTTTTTGTTACAAACTTGGCCGTTTACACTGTTTAGCCTAAATGTTATCCTGACTTCTACAATTCTACAATTTCATTTGGCAGACGCTTTTATCCAAAGTGATGTACATCTGAGAGATTTCATTGTGAGAGAGCAGTATCTGGTACAAACCGGAAAGACTGTACTTACAGTGGATTGAATTTCAAATGAAATTATAGGTCACATCTGATTAAGTTAAACTAGATGTACCCTGATGTAATCCACAAAGGCAATGTAAATATTTTGCCTCCTTCCAATAGCAAATTTTGTCTAGTTTAGTTATTGTGCACATACAATAATTATATTGTAAAATTTGGATAGATAGTGTGCCAGATTTAGCAGAGTCTATTCCACTGAGTGCACCTCTCCGTACTGTACAACCTGTGGTGGACAAGTAGAAGCTTCAGATTGCATTTGTTCAGATCAGGGCAATGAAATGATTCCTTGTGTCGAGACACTTATTGAATGAAATTGGAGTCCTAGGAAAGGTGGCCAAACATACTTGAATGTAATTGGACTGGATGTGTTTTGGCAGTATTAGCTTTGTGTCCTGAAATATTCTGTTACTGTAAAAACTGTGTTGGATACCACCTTCTCTGTCCTCCGCTCTTTCTGTCTCTCTCTTTGTTTCTTTTCTTCTTTTTCTCTATCTCACTATCTATACATATGGTAACTTCTTTCCCCAACAGGTCAGATTTCCTTCAGTTGGATACCTTCCACTGAGGGTGTAGATGACACTTACCCTAACTCTAACCCTAACCCTATACTTTAGCATTACAGTGAGCTCAAACACTCCTCAAAGCTTTGCAGGATCTACTTCAAAAACCAAGGACTGTTACAGACTTTCTTCCACATCACCTGACCTCAGCCCCACTGGACATTTTTTTGTTCTGTTTTTTTGATCACTGACAAGATTGTTTTCTGCTACAGAACTGGAATCAATATTGTTGCATAGTACTGATCTTATCTCAAATTCAGACATCTCAGAAAAGTCTTTGTCCATGAACTTACGTAGGGTATGCCAGCTGCCCTCATGTCATTGTATAGATCCTCTATTTCCGAGTCATTTGCATAACCATACCGACAGAGCTGGAACCCAAGGGACCAATAGGCAGGTAGAACAGGTCGCCCAATCAGCTGTTAAGAAGAAAACAAACAAGGAAGTCAGAACAGTTCAGCACAGGAAAAAGTTGTTTTGCAGGAAAACGGGACAGCGTCCATAAAGTGTTTGTTTGATTGTTTCTGTGTGTGTATGAGTGTTTAGATTGGCTAAATGAGAGAGCGCAGTGAAGCGAGGAACTCCCAGCTGCTGCAGTCCATCAACAGCGGCCCAGGGCCAGACACAAAACACACACAGGCACGCACAGACATGCACACACACAGACAAACCAGAAGTCCAAGAAGACTTACCGCAGTGTACTCTTGCACCACCATCTCGGGCGTAGGTCCAAGCACCATGTAGAAATCCAGGATGCCTCCCACCGTTCGGTAGGTTATAGATGGAGTGGGCTGTAAAGTCACATCTGGACATGAAGCAAATAAGACATTTATGTTCCTTAAAGATTCATGTGAAGTGGCATTTAGGTTCATGTGTGTCTGTGCTCAATGTACATTCTAGTGTTTGAAGATTAAGCAAGTGGTGCAGGAAGGAAGGAAAAGATAGAAGAAGTGCAAGTGTTTTATTGTACATATGTACAGTGTCTACGTTGTATAGAGTATGGAGGATACAATGTAGTTCTGCTTATGAAATGGCATTTTCTGAAAATATTACATTTTAAACTGTGTGGAACACATTAAAACTATTCATTCAGTTTAGACCACATGATGGATATAACAAGATGTGTGATGCATGTTCATTTGTCTGTTTGAGAGTATGCAAAACTGTTCAATATGCGAGGATATAAAAGTGAGGATGAGTGAAGATATTTGCCTTTATATAAGGCTCTGTCAAAGGTCATGTGCTCAAAACATGGAAAAGCACTCATTAATTCATAAATGCTTACTGCATATGCAATTGAGTGCGATTGTGTGTATGTGTGAGGATGCTAAACTGCACTTGCATTTGTTTCCGACAATATATGTGTAAAGCATCCGTGTGACTTTGTGCACGTGTGTTTGTGTCTCTCACCCATGGCATTGCTGTTGAGCAGCAGCACACCATGGGCATCGGCAGTGTCCTCAAGGCCCATATAGAAGGGATGAACTCCATAGCAGTTCTTCTTGTACTGTTGTAGAAAGACACACAGAGTGAACATCAAATGGAAACTACACAACTGGCGAATGTTGGTTTGTTCTGATGGTTGATTGTGTACCACTTTGTTTCTTCATGAGCACTCTTCTTTACACCTGACATTACATCTGTCATTGTATTTATGGGTATGATGACAACACTACAATGGGTTTGCCTCCAGCTCTGTCAGTGTTCAACAGTTTTCCCCAAAGTAAGGAAAATATCCCTACAACTACCTACTATTCAACTAAATGTGCAGACAGTGAACTGAGAGATTTTTGGCATTTGAGTTGCTGCGAAGGACTTTATAAAAAACCCAAAAGTTCCAAATGTAACACTGAAATCAAATTATTAGGATGGATACCATACTCAGCAACAAAGCTTTTAGTGCTTTATCAAACCAGTTTGCATTTGCTTACACTGACACATGTATGTAGAGTGGTGTGCTTTAGCAGTTATGCATATTGAACAATAAATTGCTCTTGTATGAATGACTGTGGACTTTATGAGTGTTCTTCTCGTAACTGCTGAGAGGGTCCCACTCTTGTTGTCAGTGTTTAGATGAAGATGGAACTCGACAGAGAAACAGACAGAAAGGTGGCGGGGGACAGGAAATCTGCCACTTTCAGATGTCACCATCCTGCGATGAAAACGCATGAGCATGTCACACTCTATCAGCCTCCTGCACTTCTGGTACATAAGGAGTTGTTAAACACTAATATGATGGCTCTGAGGACTGTCTCTGTTTCTATGTCATTTTTGTTTAGATGTGTGAACTCCTTGCTAAGTGTGCGTCTATGTGTCCTAGTGGCCATGCTACATGGTGTGATGGCCTCTGCTCAGCAAGGAGAAAGGCCATTTGCTTGTCCAGTAACGAGGAGTGGCAGCCAGTGTCAGTGTACTCTTCGTCCCGTGCATTTAACAAACATGTATGGATACAGACTTTTACTCTGGAAAGCATTTGGATTAGACAATTTGCTTGGTGCCTTGTAAAAACTTCAGGAAGTCAGTATTTGGCCTCATATTTAGTTATCTAGTTTAAAAATATACAACGTGTCGTATTGTATCAAAGAATGTGTAAATACAAAGTCCATGTCATCTTGTCTCATCTATTTATTTATTTATTTTTCTCATTTGGTTTCATTTATTCTTTTCCTTCTCCTTCCCATCCCTGCCTTTGCTCTCCGAGGGGGCCCATAACATTCCTCTGAACCCTGTGGAGCTGTCTTGACAGCTCAGCAATTATGCTTGATAATGCTGATACAAGTGGAAACCTCATCCTGCCTGGCCTTGACACTGTTAGAGAAAACATGATGACACTCTATAACCGCCGCTCATATCAAAAGAGCCACATCAAAGTGACACCAATGAGAGAAAGGCAAGTTTACACACTGTGCAGGAAGGTTGTTTACAAGTCACCTCCGCAGTTTCTAGAGGGCGTGATGTTAAAGACATCCTGTGCAGGGTGCTCTATGACATGTGGCATAACAGGCACAAAAATTGGTTTTGATGGAACAAGCCAGTGATTTTAAAAGTGATGGGGGGGGGGGTATCATCAGCATCATCCAAGTTGATGATACTGTCCACCATGTAGAAGTGACAAATAAATAATCCAGTCAGCATGAGTGCTGTATTCATTTTGTGTGCATATACGTACAGATGTGTAATTTCGTGCTCTAGTGTGATACTTACACCAGGAGGCTGGTCCTTGGAAAACATACCCCAGGTATGATAGTTGAGATCGTGTTTATAGCTTGTATGTTCCGTCTCCCCAAAGCCATAGACAAACTCAGATGGCAGTCGAGTCGACACTTGGATGAACATGTCTGAGAAGGTAAAACCTGGCAAACTGGAGTCCCAACTGAGAAAAGTGACAGAGGATTAAATCGCAGAGAGAGAGAGAAAGAGAAAGAGAGGGAATTATCGTCAAACTGAGTTATTCACAATATTTTTGACACAAATAAGCATAATGACCCATAGGAACTGCAGGCATCCCTTCAACGTACTTCATAAATTTTAATTAGTAAAATTTCAGCTGACACTTCTAAAAAGCAGGGAAGGCTTAACTACAACATAATGTCACCCTTGCTTTGAGATGTGCTTTGAATAGACTCCAGCGCTCTCCTGCTTCATGTGACATCATCATGACTACTGAACAAGAGGAAACTACTTTAGGCACTCGTATACAGGGCATCTTTCCTGAGCATACCTGGTTGGATCAGAGGGTTGACTCAGCATTGTTACTTTAATCTCACAGGGGGGAAAAAAAAAAGTTTCTTGCCTTAAAAAAGACAAACAGAATTTTCTGCACCATGCTGTACTTTATTGCTTGTTAATAGTAGCATCTATATTATCTAAAACTGCCTGGTGAATCATCGCCCAGAAGGGGCAAGTTTAAGACCACTTGTGAAAACAATAAAGATTGGAATACATATTAATTTACCTTATTGATTGGGGCAGCATATGTGGTCTATTTATTTCTTAAAGCTAAAGAGATTTTTTTTTTTTAAATTGTCTCAACAGCTACCTGGCCCAGATAGGTAGCAATAACAAGAAATTAAATGCATGTCCAAAACAATAGATGCCATAATACACTGATGGAGCAGAGATTACAGTTAGCAAGTGCATTGAATATTATTGATATAGATCAAAGCTGATGACATAAGCAACTGCACTGATGAAATGGTGAACTTTGATAAGAGTTTTAGTAAGCTGTAGTATATTCTGACAATTTCGTAGAGGTTTAACTCGCAAAAGTCTCAGTCTTAACCCTTTATTGGGCAAAGAACCAGATGTGGTAACTTCCTTGGTGAATGTGTTCCTCACAACACATTCACTATGGCCACTATGACCAATCACGAGTGAGCCAGAGTGATATTTTGACAGTGTCATAAATTTCGTAAGTCTGACTGAAGATTTGGAAATAAATGTTCCAAGTGCTGTAGTGGATGCTAGTTTGTCTTTGAATATTTAAAGTCATCCATAAGATCTCTATTTAAAAAAATAAATAAATAAATTAAAGAAAGACAGATAAACAAAACCCTTCTCAAAACAGTGTTAATCCCACAACACATGAAGCAGTCATATTGAACAAATAAAAAAATTAACGCACTCAAACCTCCTGTACAACAACAGTACTCACATCGTGGCTTTTGTGCTTTTTCTTATGACCTTGATGCCGAATGGTTTCTCTGCAATTTGGACCTCGTATTTCCTCTTGGTCGCGTCAGTCTCAGGAACAGCGGGAACTGAAAGTGGCACTGGTACTTCGTAGCGATCTGTGGCTGGGTCCCAGATCTAGATATGGAGGTATGGTTAGTTTCTTAGTGCATGTGTGTGAAAAGGAGCGCAGGGAAAAACACTGAGACACATGAATGAATGATTGCACCACTAATGGCACACAATTTAAATAAACACACACCTTGAACTGCAGCATGTCACTGCTGTGATAATAAACAGCGACACGGAGGGTGTCGATGTCTGGTGAATCTGGACGATTACTCCTGTACTTTTTGTTCCGAGTGATATCCAGTGTCATGCCTGAATTGGTTTCTACGATATTTGAAGCAATGTAACCGTAGTCCTTTGGATAGAAGCAGGCTGGAACTTTGGCTGTGGCACTTGGCTGAGTAGGGAAAGAAAGTGAGGAAAACAGATGTTTAAAATATGAAAGTAATGTGCATATGTGCATGTGAACATCATAGTGAGTCTCCCCTTACCCTCCAGATGCAGCCTCTGGCTTCACATTTAGCCTCATCTGCATTATCCTCTGGATGGCAGTCAATACGCTGGGCATCTGTGTTAGGTAGTATCCACTCTATCAGGTAGGTGTCGCCCAAGTTTAGGGAGAGGTTACGCAGGTACAGCACCTGTGTTTTTGATGAAGTGCAAGTAAGGAAAACCATTTAAAGAGTGTTGTGAAGCTTGTCTGAGAACAATCATCCAAAGCTGTCTGTAAGTAAACTACCCCCTCATGCAATTACTCACAAATATGCTTCCTTAAGAATGAACATGGACTTGACATTGTATGTGCTATCATTTAAGAGGCAGCTGTTAATTTCCTTAATGAGTCGCTGTCACAACAAATCGTGGGGAGGCCCTTCCACTGAAGTTACTACATTCACTATCTGATGCATCCTCAACTGGTGAGTAGACTTGTGTGGTTTTATTTTGTCATTTCTTAGTGAATCCTTTCATTCTGGAGTTATGCTTCACTGCTTCTATTGTGTAAAGTACAATCATGCAGGACACAAATCCACATGAGAAGGTATGTTGAGAAAGAAGAAAAGAGTAAAGAGGAATGAGCAGAGGAGTGAATGAGGAAATGAAAGAGAGAGAGAGAGAGACAGAGAGAGAGGGAGGGAGAGAGCGAGAGCGAGAGAGAATGTGGGAACTAAGGGAGGTCCTTTATGCAGGCACTTTGAACAGTGTAGAAGGCAGTAAGGCTTTATAGTTGCAAGAAATGGTTAAAATGCAATCAAGTCAAAAATGAAATAAAATGCAGGCAGCCAGTGTGACTCATACATTGTAAAGTACGGTTCTATTTGAGTGTATATGGAACTAATGATGTTCAGCAGCTGTGAGCCATATTCAAGGCCTGGACTAGGCATACGGAGACTGATGGACATGACAAGCCAGAGTTTAGGTTTAACAGCACATTTACCCTTCACCCCCCGGATATGATTACCACTGAGAGTCATTTGATAAATGCACGCTTGTGTGTGTGACCAGAGAGACCTTGAGGATCTACACAAACACAACTGCGGTCACATACACATGAACACTTGTGCACAAGCAAATATACAGGAGCGCACAAAGCAAATCTCTATAGTACTACTTAACTGAGCCTCTTGACACTTTATAGACTCTTGCCTTTTGCTCATAACCCTGGGCGCTTGCGTAGACTCATTGCTCTTAGTCATTCTTTCTCATTCTTTTTTCTCTTTCGCGCATCCCCCACACTCGCAGAAAACTTTTTATGACCCTTACCTAATGTAAATTGTTATCATTTCTTACACTTAGAGGCTAACCTTGAAATGTACAGGAATGGTTTCACTCCTGGTCTTATTGAAACAAACTGCATGACTGAAGCTGCTGGAGGATTCATCTACCCTGCATCTGTCCTGCATTAGTGCAGTAGAGTTTTCCTGACAGAATACTTGAAAATAACCCGCAAATAATAGATTGAGTTTACGTAAGCCAACTAACAATTCTGAATGTAAGTGGAAATGTTGGAGTCGAAAGCTAAATGTTTCATTGTCTTCACTATTTTCACTAATTTTGTCTGCTCTTTGGTGCTACTGAGTTTACAGTAGGTTTATCGGAACTTTTAAATGAAAATAAATCTGTCATGGAGTGAACCTGAGGACATAGAATTACAGGACAGAAAATCAAAGCAATAAGCTTAAAAATGACAAAATCCTTTGTACAGCCAAGGGAAACTACTAAACCGAGTCGTTTTTGTCTGGTGGTTCATCACTCCAAGCAAAAACCTTCACATTCCATATTGTCATTTGATCCATTAAACATAAAGCCTAATGACTGGCAAGGCTTAAAAGAACAGTGAATGCACACATCCTTGAAAGTGACATTTTACGTTGCTACAGTGTGACTTTTATGCAAAAACAAACTTTGTAATGTCTTCTCTGTAAAGGTGGATTCACCTGTCATGAAAAAATGAATGGCTGCATTTGTGAATTT